TAAGTTCCCTTTTTTCATTAAAAAAGCTTATTTTAACGTTGATAAGAATGTTTCTTCAATGTTATAAAAACGTTTTTTAAAGATTTGAAGAAAATATTTATTAAACATTAAAGGAACGTTTTTTTAAGATTCACAGAAATGTTTGTTAAACGTTAAATTAATCAGGAAGAAATGTTTTAAATAATTTGAAAAACATTTTCAAAAAGCATTTTAAAGAACCTTTATTTTAATGCTTATGATTGCGTTTCGGCACGCAGTTTACAATATTAAAAAAATATATTTAATAATTGATTCAACAGAAAATTTTATATTATTTAAGCACCAAGATCCAATCAATAGATAACCAATTTCTTCTGTGTCTCTTCCGCACAGTTGTCACTCGATTCGCCTTCTTCAGCGGCACTATTGTCAGACTTATATTCTTCGGTATTACTATTGGCGTGTCTGATAATGAAAAGATTGAAACAATTTTTTACAAAAGGTGGAGAATATTTTGTAGAAAGTAGAATTTTCTAGAAAAAATGAGTTTAGAAAGTAGATGTTCGACTGTACTTACCAAGCAAAGATTGATGTAAAAATCGATGATTGAATTAAAAGTATTAAAACGACGTCCCAAATTTCTAACACTCTTTTTCTTGCTGAGAAAGTCGACACACTTCTTCACTTTTTTGATGTTGGATTCTTGGGAAAAAAATCATTAACTGCGCGCACCGGCATGCGACCACATACAGAAAAGACGATATATCACGTGACAAAAGAATGACAAAGAATCACGACTCAACAGTGTTACCATGCTGACTTGTCCCGTGCACGCGCGTGCGCGGAGTTCGCAGACACCAGCGCTTTGACACCGAGCGCTGATTAAAAAACAGCGAAAAACAGAAAAATAGCAAGAAAATTTTCTTATTATATATTGTGTATCTTAATAAATAGATGATTTTTCAAAATAAATTTGCGAATGGATAAAAATAGTAATGGATAAACATTTTTCATTAGCTTTTTAAATGATAAATAATAATAAATGTATAAAAATAATTAATAAACATTAAATAAATATTTTTTAATAAATGTTTTTTAAATGAGTTTTAAAATAAATAACAATTAAAAAATATATTTATTAAATGTTAAATAAATATTATTTTACAGATAAAAAATAAATGAAAAAGTAAATATTAAATAAACGTTAAAAAAAAGTTTACTAAAATTATTTTCTCGAATAGATAATTAATGAAAAATACATATTTATAAAATATTAAAGAAATGTTTAAAAAAATGTTTACTGAAATAATTTTTTCAACTAGATAATTAATGAAAAAACACATATTTATGAAATATTAAAGAAATGTTTAAAAAAATAGTTTACTGAAATTATTTTTTCAAATAGATAATTAATGAAAAATACATATTTATAAAATATTAAAGAAATGTTTAAAAAATGTTTACTAAAATCATTTTCTCAAATAGATAATTAATGAAAAATACATATTTATAAAATATTAAAGAA